GGATTAATGCCGATATCTGCTATTAATTAAAGATCTTTTGAAGAAATGGGGGATGTCAGATCAACGGTCTTAGAATGGCATACAAACCAGGTTGAGGTTAATAGGCTTGGGGATCTCTACAATTACAATGCTATTAATTACTTCTGAAAAATCCCGAAGAAGAGAGAAAAGCAATCGACATTAGACAGATTATTTAACCCCCACAAAAAAAAAACCATAACTAATAAAAATGCACATCTGTGTATACATATAAATAAACGTAGTAAGAAAGTATATATTTTTTATTTTGGGATGTCTCCAGAACGAATTAATCAAATTCCCATACAAACCTATGGTAAATTCATAATCGGTTAATGAACAATTCGGATAGCAAACAAAGTCTTGGAACGGATTATGTTCGTTAACCAATCACCCACTGTACTTACAAAGAAAATTTGTTTTCTGTAATAATTTTATATTTTCATAAGTTTATATAACTATAGATTTACTGTTAATACTAAAATAAAGAAAAATAATGCTAAATTTGAATTCAATATTAGTAATGATGTATATTAATCTATATTAAAATCAAAGGAAATACTGCTCTTCTACTTAGAGTTAAGAGGTAAAGATTAGTAAGTATTCATAAAGGTAGAATGGCACATGTGTGGATTTATATGCAACAAAAAATTGATTAGCTTGATATAGGATTTCAATCTGCTGGTAGTTTAGAAGCATCTTCTTCTTAATTCTTTAATTTTAATATTATAATCTCACAGGTTGATTATTGTATATTTGATTTTATATTTTGGAGCTTTAATAAATAAATAAATGTAATCATTAGATTTTAGCCTGAGGAGGGGTGACTGATATGATTGTCATCTGAAATGCATAGTTAATAAGGTGTATGAATAAAGTATTATTCTGAAAGTTCCTTTGGTGCGAGTCTGAGTCTCTGATTAATGTGGATAAAGAAGTAAGAAATACAAATACTTGTTAGTCTTTAACTCATAACTCTAATAGAAGAATTAATTTACATCTGCACCATAATCCTTGATAAAACAAGGAATGATGATAAATTTGAATTCAATATTGGTAATAATCTATACTAATCTTACATAAAATATAAGGCATATTTTTAAGATTTTTCTATGTAATTTTTTTGTTTCTTCGAAGAGTTGTCAAAGACTGCAATAGCAATAGAAACATTCCATTCAAATGCAGTCAGACTTCCATATCATGAAATCCACATAACAAATTTCTCTTTTCAATGAATTTTTATGTAAAAAGCTAAAAATATAACTTTTAAAACTGCTATTTAATATTACTTTACCAGCATATTCTCCATTTAATGAATTTTATGCATATTAAATTCTCCAAGTAATTATGTAATTTACAATGCTATCAATGTATTTAGTCTCAAATAAAGATACAATAAATTAAATAAACCATTAATCTCTCTCTTATTCATACAAACAGTCCTTAATTAATGCAACAGAAATGTTCTATGAAAATAGCATGTTAAGTAAAATCTATTCTAATAAGATTATATATCATAATGGTTGAATGCATTTCTTGGCTCTGATATAAATAGCTGAGATTACTCTAACACATTACTCACATTTACTCATGTTTAAGACAAAGTTTTTATTCATTTTTCACTGCTTCAAAAACCTAGGTTGTCCTATACGCATGAGTGAAGGATTCATTGCGTTTTTTGCAATAATTTTTGTTAATCATGTATTTGCAATTTTTACCAGATGCTCATTCTCTGGTGTTTAAAAACAAAACTGTTTTATCTGGATCATTTCAATCATTCTTGTGTAGTGTCAGGAATAAAGATGAATAGCAATAGGAAAAGCAAAGCTTTTGAATTGAATTCCAAATTGAAATTCCAAAAATCACACAGGAGCCTGATGTAAGTTTTAATCTATTCCCATGTGAAAACAGATGATTATTTGGCAATCAGAATTTGGAGAAACTCATGAATGTAATCAACAGAGTAGATTCGACTGTATCCAGCTTTACATAAACAAATAATGTTGACGATTTTACAAGATTTTCCTTAAAGTTTAAAATGCCAGTAATTTTTGTGGGACAACGCATGCATTTACACGCTTTTGATAATTTTATTTGTGATTAAACAAAATAAAATTAGAATTGTATTAATAAATCTAATTTTCTTTATTTTAATCTTTAAAGTTATACCTTGTCCTACATGCAAATAAATACAGTATTTCTCAACTCAAAAAATGATTAGTTATAATCCTATTACATCCAATTATCACTCTCTTGAAACTTGAAATGCTCCTTATCTAGGTGCTGAATAAATAGTATTTCGAGCAAATTAGATGTACTGTTGTAACAAAAAGGTAATGATTACAGCAGCTCAAAATGTTCACAATGGAAATTTTCAATATCAATATCTTGATTGAGTCTTTCAGATATATTAAGATTTTTCTTGAGACCTCCATACTTCAAAAACTTCAAGAATTTATGGTAAGAAGACATCCAAAAAATGAAAATAAAAATAAAGTACAGCTTATATTCTTTATGTTTTTTTTTTTTTAAATAAATTTTATTATATTATATCCAAATAAAAATATTTATGACAAATTAATTTTCCTACAGTTCCAATTAATAACATTTCCTGAATCATTATTCCAAAAGATATATCCCATAAAGTAGAATCTAGCTTTGTGCCTTTATTTAACTTAAAAAAGAAATGATGCATTTATGTTTTATTCTTAAGTTTAAAATTTGTGTTCAACTTTTATCTGATGACAAAGGCAGTATGTCTTCCAAGTACTGGCAATTTTTAATAAATACATGTTTCTGAAGTCAGTTAGGTGTGATTTCTCTCCCATATCACAATCCCAGTGTAAAGTGAAAATTGTTTTTATCAATTATCAGCAAAGTAAAATCCACTTTGTGATTGCAGCTATTGTTATCAGTCATTTAATATTATCAGAACTAGTATGTCCTATGTTTAAATACAGTTTAAAACCTCACTGTAATCAGAGTTTTGGTTATTGTCATTATTATTTTTAGATAAATAGACCTTTTTTAAATTGACTGTATTTTTGTGATATTGGCCTCAACCAATACTTTAAACATTAAACATTTATCATTTCAATCATTATTTGCTGGCAATATAGTTTAAAATGCAAGCATTTCTTACTCAATTACATTATAACTCTTACTAACAAGTATTTATCAATATTTACTCTGCTTAATGTTATCAGTCAGTTATTATAATTATTGAGTTCATAAGGGACAACAATATGCAGGCTCCACTGTCTACAAAAATTGTCCATAATTAATAAACTGTGCTAAAATAAAAACATATTAACTAAAATATATCATCTGAGGATTACTTGTTTTTATTATATTTTGCAATTATTAATTTGATAACCATATTAATAAATCAAATTATTTCTTGAAAATTTTAAACATAAATGTATATTAATAAATATTCAAATTATAATAAACAATGCTTTTTATAAAAAATTTATTATTAGTATCCATATAATATATAGATATAATAATATTTTTATATTTAATTTGAAAATTTAAGACTATACAAACAACTTAAATTTTCAAATTAACTATAATAATCCTGGGCTAATGTGCACAATATTTTTATATAATAATAATAATAATAAATACAAACCTGGGATTATAGGAATAGGTGCTATTTCTTTTACAGGAACTATGTAATTAGAAACTTCTGGAGAGATTTCCTCCTCTGAATCTGGTTCACCTTCTGAATCAGTGTATGTTGCCGTTAAAGAAGCCAAAGCTGTTGGTTTTTTTATATTCAGCGACATATTTCATAAATATTTAATATCTAAAAGCAAAAAATTTTATAATAATACATTAAATTTTTGATTAAATATGACTATGTTAGAATCAATCAAAAAATTTCAGATATTATAGATATGAAATAGAAAAACTTAATGACTTCACTATTAATAAACTAATTTAACTGAAAACATTAATAAATCTTTCAATTTACATCACATTCATCCAAAACTTGATTTTTATCCCTACTTTAAATTCATAAAAATATACAAAGAAATATATTAATAAAATAACTTTTATTTCTTGCATTAAACATTTTCAACAACTATGTAATGACTAATTATTTGAATATTAAAAATGATGTGCATTTGTTCTTTTTTTATGTATATTTATTAGAATGTTTTCTTGAAACCTAAAATAAACTCTGTGATGAGAATGTTGCCTTGCAGCTCCAATCAAAAACTTTATGGATCTGAAGTGATTTTGAACTGAAATACATAATTTGGGTGTTTTCTTTATCGGTATAATATCAGATATCAAAGTTAGTTTTAAACCTCTGTATATGAATCAAGTTTATCTTGTTGCCACAAAAAAATATTGTGCCTTAAGAAGCTCTTAAGGAATGTGAAATTATAACTGACGAAGAAAACACACCTGAATTATGTATTTCAGTTCAAAATCACTTCAGATCCATAAAGTTTTTGAATGATGCTGCAAGGCAATGTTCTCATCACAGAGTTTACTTTGTGTTTCAAGAAGGCTATCAGGTATGGAAAGCATTAGAGAATGGTATATCTCAGTATCCCAGATTAGATGATAGATTTCCTCAAGTAGCTGAAATTAGTTTCAAGTTTGATCCCATGAAACCGCCAGATGAAAGAACTGATCCTGCAGATATCAAAGTTGGCTTTGAACCTTTAGAATGTCTTATTTCCTAAATTTTAGCTAAGTCATCTATAGTGCCAATTTCCAATTATTATAATTAAAATACATAAAAATATAAAAAGTGATTATCAGATTTCAAAATAAAAATGTATTTTAACCAAACAATTTCAATTAGCCAATATTTATAAATCTGTAATTTATTTAACAATCATATGAATATTACATTGTTTAAAGACATGCACACAGATGGCAAAACTAAGGATGCAACTATGCAGAAGCAAATCTAGTAATGAATGAGAGGTGTGAGTGACATAGCACTTGCAAAGGAAAACCATGCTCAAGTAAGAAAAAAGAAATCTTGAGGGCAAGAATGAATCTCTCTCTTTCTCACAAATATCTGACAAGGTTTGATATTTATTGCATTTTTGCCTCTTCTTGCTAAAAACTGCACATGTGCCTTGGCATTAGTAGATGACTTCTCATATCTTTCATCCACTGTATATATAAAAAAATTTTTGTTTTTTTTTCAAACTATAGATACACATAAAGTCATATAAATTCTGTTTTATTAACAAATTATAATAAAGTTCTTTATCCTTTAGCTGTTTCCAGAGAGGAGGAACACCATATTTTCATTTTCTTTTTGTGTGTTCATTATGAATAATCCTAATAAAAGTTTTTCTTTGCTAGTAGTAAGCATTATAATTAAACCATTTTGGTTTTTATTTCCATAAAGTGCAATAATTCATGCTTCTATGTGACATTGTTATCTCCATGCTACTTACTCCCATTGGCTTGCTTCAGTGTAGTCGTATTGTACTTAATGAGAGTGAGAAATGTTATCATCTCTTCTCGCCACATTCTCGCTCACGTGTCTGCATAGTCGTACTCTAAGGGGACATTGAACATTGACAACAGGTTCAACTAATCACCCATTTTAATTGTCATGGTNCTCATCCCCACTAGATGGCACCTTTCACTAGTTCTAATAAAGGGGAAATTTTCCACAATTTCCTCCAATCAAAATATTCTGGAACTGGAGCACAAAATTGGACCTGTCCAGGACTGTTGAAGATTGAGGGGGAGAGAGTTCCCTGGAGTCAAAACTGAACAAAATCTCAAACATGGCTGGTTTTAATGAGTAACGCCAATTTATTGAAGACTTTTCCTGTTTAAATGCAAAATAATTTTACAGTAGACCCCCCTATAACGCTTAGATACGTTCCACGCTAATCGAATTTTACGTTGTAGGAATGATTAAATACATGAGCCAATCGCAGCCCAATAGGTGTGAACTTTACGGACTAAGGCTGTTTGAAAGGTTTTCTTCTATAAAATTAACCGATTCTAGACTAATTCCACTCAACATTTCCAAAACACGTATAATTTTTTGGGAATAATCTGTATAAACTATGCTATAAACAAAAAATTATAGGATTACTTACCGAGTGTGTACCGTTCGACTACGCCCGTTGTTCAAAGCTTGTCTTCGTCGCGGAACAGCACACGAAACGGCGGCCGCGATTTCTGATAACGAATTTTTCGCAGAAAAATAACTTGACCTTTGGAGACATCATTAATATAAATAATTTTTATGGCCGTTGAATAAGAAATGTTTCTTTCACAAGAAATGTATAAAATTAGTGCTGTATTAGACTTACGGTACCTAATTTACATACTGTACAGACGATAGCTCGCCTAAACTCTCCGTAGCGTGGCGCTAGACGGCAGAAAGTATATATATAATTATAATAAAGTTACAATAAATTAAGTTAATATATAATTATATATACAGTACCTAATTTATATATAATTAATATATAATTATATGTACAGTACCTAATTTATATATAATTTATATATAATACTAAACAGACGATAGCAAACTCAATTTAGCCGCTCCGTAGCGTGGCGCAGGGTCGGAGGAAAGTAGTTCGGCTGCTCATCCACTATTGGTCCAGATTCTATCAATCTTGTCACGAAACGACGTTATAGGAGGTACTTTATACGAATGTTGCTACAATTTTTTCGCTACGTTATAGGAATTGTCATTATAGGAACACACGTTATACGGGGGTCGACTGTATTTTATTATTATTTTTAGTTTACATATATATATATATCATAAGCTAAAATTATGATTAATATTTCAATAAGTGTTATAGTGTTATACATTTTTACTATAGATTACAATATATAACATCAATGTTTCAGTTCTTGTCTACCAATAGATTACCATTTAGTTGGGGATCAACTTTAATGACAGGTAGGTTTAAATCAGAATTAAAAACTGAAAATCTTGAGCTAAACTTATACACCAGTATATACAATAACCTATATAAGCTATAGAAAATATTAAGCTTTTACTTCGAAAGGAAAGAAAACAATATTTTAATAAAATGCTGTTCAAAGATGAACATTGAACAGCATTCATGGACCAGTGAACCAAAATTGTGACAATACCATGGGATGACAAACACTTCTTTCTCAAGGCAGTGATGGACCATTCCGCAACACTACAAGTGTTAGTACAGCAGAGGAGCACTGCAATAGTTGTGGCATTGTCTGCCAGCACAGTTCAGTATCTTCAAATGGTTAAACATATCCCATTGGATGGATTCCCTTGATTCTAAATTATTGACGCCTCAAGCTATGACATCATAAATACAAACAATGATATGCTGATTGACAACAAGTCATGTTTTCAGATAAACCCCAATTTAACTTGGACCACGGTGATGGCTACATTTGCATTAGAAGGTATCATGTTGAACACCATCTTCCAGCATGCATTTTAGAGCATCATACTAATGGTTAGTATGATGCTCTAAAATACATGCTGGAAGATGGCGGTATATGTTTGGTTAGTGTAATGGTGCACTATTGGAGACGATCTTGCCTGCTATAACTTGAGGGCAATCTCAACAGCAACTGTTACAGAGGGAAATTGTAGAGGCAGAAGTACTACTGTTCCTTCAGAGCACTTCCAACATGCTCAACTACAAGTTGCCAAGAATGTTCAAGACCTCTTCAAGGCTTGACAGATACCACGTCTTCCCTGGCCTGTCCATTCACCAGACATGTTGCCTATTGGATATGAGATATGGTCACTGGGCAACATACCCATCAAAGTCCTTTAGCAGTCAGTATCAATGAACTATGGACACACATACAAGCCACTTGACAAGCAATTCCTCAGGACACCATTCAGTCTTCAAATTCACTGCCACAATGTATAGCATCTCTTATTTCAGCTTACAGAGGCTTTACAAGATACTGATTTTATCAAATAATAATTTTTGTACTGTTCTAAAAATTTAAATCACTTATGTATAGTCATATCAGTAATATATGGTGTAAATTTCATTCTAATCAGATAATTCCTTCNATATACAATAACCTATATAAGCTATAGAAAATATTAAGCTTTTACTTCGAAAGGAAAGAAAACAATATTTTAATAAAATGCTGTTCAAAGATGAACATTGAACAGCATTCATGGACCAGTGAACCAAAATTGTGACAATACCATGGGATGACAAACATTTCTTTCTCAAGGCAGTGATGGACCATTCTGCAACACTACAAGTGTTAGTACAGCAGAGGAGCACTGCAATAGTTGTGGCATTGTCTGCCAGCACAGTTCAGTATCTTCAAACGGCTAAACATATCCCATTGGATGGATTCCCTTGATTCTAAATTATTGGCGCCTCAAGCTATGACGTCATAAACACAAACAATGGCATGCTGATTGATAACAATTCATGTTTTCAGATAACCCCCAATTTAACTTGGACCACAATGATGGCTACATTTGCATTAGAAGGTATCATGTTGAACACCATCTTCCAGCATGCATTTAGAGCATCATACTAATGGTTAGTATGATGCTCTAAAATGCATGCTGGAAGATGGTGGTACACTTGGTGTTTGGTTAGTTACTAACCAAACATGAAGTGTAATGGTATGGTGCACTATTGGAGACGATCTTGCTTGCTATAACTTGAGGCAATCTCAACAGCAACTGTTACAGAGGGAAATTGTAGAGGCAGAAGTACTACTGTTCCTTCAGAGCACTTCCAACATGCTCAACCACAAGTTGCCAAGAATGTTCAAGACCTCTTCAAGACTCAGCAGATACCACATCTTCCCTGGCCTGTC